GTCAGAAAATAGGAAAAAGAGATGAGTGCAATGGTTTCACAGTCCCAGATTCCTTACCTGGCAACTGACTATTTGCTTGATGGCATCGTCTTAAGAATGAAGTAGATGAAAACTTGAATTCATTACAACTCTTATAAGCACTCATTCAGTAATCAACTAATTTTAAAATTAATAAGTAGATAAATATAATTTTTAATTATAGGAAGTAAAATACCTTTCCAACATGCTCTATGACAATTAATTTAGTAATATTGATTTTTGAGCATGACTGGTACTTGAGCAATAGAAAATACACAGTATAGAACACAAGTTACACAGAAGGTACAACACTGACTCAACAAGCAAGATCCCCATGTGACTTATGAACGTCTAATTTCTTTAAACAATGGTCTGTCAATGTAAAATGCTGATAGTTTTGGTAATTGCTTCAACTGAATTTTTTATGATTTAAAAATGTAATTCAATTAATTTATACCATTGCAATTATCATGATGAATTTATGTATTTGTTAGAAAATGTGAACATATGTTTGAAAAACTTTTTAAATGTCTAGTGTTCCCTATAATTGCTAAACAAAGATTTTATTCACTTTATTTATTCTATGAGACATCATTATTTAAAAATGGTTTTCTTCTAATGTCAAACATAGCTTTGTGAGGATCCTCACAGATAAAGGAATTAAAAGTCAAAAGGTATAACCTGAGACTCCAACCTTGAGAAGGTGTTCCTGGCATAGTGCATGATACTGTCAAAATCATATCTTTCTCCAAGTGAGTTTACTTCTCCAGGTTCCATTTTCAGAAAATTGTATTCTTGACCTAAGAATCAGGAATAAACCACAGCTCAGAAGCCTTTAACAGAGAGACAAAAGAACAGAGGGCCTTCTCAGGCCACTATTTGCACTTTGCTGCATGATAGATCTTCGTGCAGCAAATGGTTACATGGTTTACACTTTAATATGGTATTGAAAGAACAATAATGGATTCAGTTAATAAGTTAATTTCTTCAAAAGGATCAACTACCAAAAGCATACTTTGGGTTGGTTTTCTACATGTATTCTTTTCTAATCTCATAATATTGCTTGTTTAACATTTTACTGCCTTTTTTTTTTTTTTTTTTGCTGCCATATGCAATGAATTTTAAAGGTACATTTTTATCTCATGACTTTTCCACTTTCTCTTATGTCTATATTTGTCAGGATCAACAACAGCAACAACAAAAATCTTACTATTTGCTTTGGAGTAATTCTATAAAACACTGGAAAAAATATTAAAAAGACTGGTATCATATACAAGGAGCTCTGGTGGTGCAATGCCTAAGTCATTTGAGTGCTAACCAGAAGGTTGGTGGTTCAAATCCAACAGCTGCTCTATGGAAGGAAGATGGAGCAATCTACTTCTGTAAAGATTTACAGCTTTGGAAACCCAATGGGGGTGGCTATTTGCTATGAGCCAGAATCTACTCAATGGTAGTGAGTTTGGTTTTGGTTTTGGTATTAGCATATATGGGAGTTCCTAGGTGGCACAAACATATAAGCACTAGACTGCTAACCAAAGGGTCTGTGGTTCAAACCCACTAAGATGCCTTGGAAGTAAGGTTTGATGAACTGCTTCAAAAGTCACAATGTTGTTTTTTGAAAAGATTAATAAAATTGACAAACCACTGGCAAATTTAACAAAAGAAAAGAGGAAGAGAATACAAATACCATGAATAAGAAACGAAGTGGGCAACATCATAACAGAACCAACTGAAATAAAAAGGATAATATAAGGACACTATGAAGAACTATACTCCAACAAATTTGAAAACCTGGAGGAAATGGACAGATTTCTAGAAACACACCACTTACTTAAACTAACACAGACTGATGTGGAAAAGTTGAACAGATCCATAACAAAAGAAATTGAACAGGTCATAAAAAAATCACCAGTAAAAAAGAGTCCTGGCCCAGATGGTTTCACCAGAAATTCTACCAAATACTAAGAGAAGAAATGACACCAATCCTACTCAAACTATTCCAAAACATGCAAAAGGATGGAATCCTACTAATTGATTTTATAAAGCAAGCACAACCTTCATACCTAAACAAGGCAAAGGCATCACTGAAAAGAAAAACTACAGACCAATATCCCTCATGAATATAGATGCAAAAATCTTCCAAAAAAAAATCCTAGCCAATAGACTTCAACAACATATCAAGAAAATAATTCATTATGACCAAGTGGGGTACATATCAGGAATGCAAGGATGGTTCCACATTAGAAAAACAATCAATGCCATCCACCACATAAATGAAACAAAAGAAAAGAAGATCATATCAATCAATGCAGAAAAGGCATTTGATAAAATCTAACATCCATTCCTGATCAATACTCTCAGAAAAATAGAAATAGAAGGGCCATTCCTCAACATAATGAAGAGTATATATGTAAAACCAACAGCCAACATTATTCTCCATGGAGACAGACTGAAACCATTCCCCTTATGAACAGGAACCAGACCAGGATGCCCTCTATTACCACTTCTATTCAACATTGTATTGGAAGTCCTAACCAGGGCAATAAGGCAAAAAAGGGAAATTAAAGGC